AGGTGAGACGAACATTTTCGGGGGGCGGAGGCGCGTCATTCACGTAAAAAGTAAAAAGGGTCGGTGATAGTACTGAGCCCTGGGGAACACCTCAGTGAACAATTTTATGGGGGATCCTCGGTTGTTGAAAATGGTGGTAGCTTGTCGGCCACATAAATGATTGTTCAGCCAACGAACTATGCCTCTTGGCAGCGGTATGTCATGAATGAGTTCTACTAGTGTTCTATGACATACCATATCAAATGCCTTGAAAAGATCAAATGTGGCGAGGACAGTACGCAAGGTAGGGTGGTTTTGGTTAAAACCATCAGTGATAAAAAAAGTCAATGCGGTTGTGGTGGAGTGAAAAGGGCGGAAAACGTTTTGGTGTGTGGCCTATGGAAGGTGCTTTGTTAAAAAGGAGTGGATTAGCCTCTCTGAAACTTTGACAGCGGGGCACAGTAGTGAAACAGGCCTCTATGAAGTGGAGATTTTATGGTCCTTTTCAGGTTTGGGAAAGGAGATTATTTTGGAGTTTTTCCACAATTGGGGGATATATTTGCAGAAAGTTACACAAATGAGTCAAGTAATCAAGTGCAAGCGGTCCGAGGTGTTTGAGGTGGACATTGCAAAGGCCATCCGGATCGAGTGCTCTAGAGGGTTTGCTCTCTGCAATGGCTTGTTTAGTTTGTTGGGGAAAAAGTTGGGTTATCAGAAAGAGAAAGTTTGGAAATTTGCGTTTTGTTTTCCTGAAACTTTGTCGGAGGTATGAATTCTAGCATTGGTAAATTGCTTATGGAATGCTTTTGCTATGTCAGTATCGGAGGTTATGGTTTTAGAGCCAAAATTCATGGGGTGCCTCCCTAACACAGACCTGGATCCGTTTACGGAGCGTACTACTTTCCGGAACTTTCTGGCACCAAGGCGGTAATCACAGATCTGGAGCAATTTAAGTAATTTATTTCTCTTTTCTTTTGGTGTCGGATTCAGGAGTTGGCAGTTAAGTTGTGAACTTGTGTAACAATAGTGCTGTGTGGTTTCCATGGGCTGATTGTTTTTGTAGCGGCCGCGGTCTCTTTCAGCAGCAAGAATAAATGACTCCGGAGAAAGAGACCGGGTAAAATGGCGGTGACGCTCGGCGCGGATGGGGTGGCGTGCTGTTCTGAGCACCAGATCCCTGAAAAAAAAATTTCCGGCCGCAACTGAAGGCGGATTTCCCGAAACGAGGATACCCGCCTCAATCTTCTCTGTAAATTGCCGCCAATCAGCCCTGAGGAAATGTATGTATGTCTTTTCCGGAGAAAAGTATATGTCGTTATTGAGGGGTAATTCAATAAGTATGGGAAGTTGGTCGGAGCCAAGGGTTTTGATAGGGTTCCAGTATGCAGTAAGTAAATGGGACTGCGATGCAAGGGAAAAATCAGGCGAGGAATGTTGTGCATCAGTAATAAAAGGTACTCTTTTTTGGTTATTGTCATTTAAGGGTGCAAAACTGGGTTCGGTTATTTCATTGGAGAGTACTTGACCTCGTTGGTCCTCTTCGATATTCGAAATCCAGAGGGACGAAGGAGCAATGGCGTCCCCCAGTACCAGATCATCACCAGGAACCAGGGGATCAGAGAGAGATGCGGTATAACCGGGAAGACAACTAGTTCGGGGGAACGGGTATCTGAAAAATACTTAAACGAAGTTTCAACGAACTGGCTACTACAGAGATACTCATAGCCTCTAGCGTATTGTCGGTATTTAAAGTAAGTTCTTCGTACTGTATTGACTCGTGGATAGCAATGAGGAGGCCACCACCCTCTTTGTTTTTGTCTTTACGGATGAGTGAGTATAAAAGCCCTTTGGAGGGGTGACTACTTTGTTTTCTTAACTTGGTTTCCCGGAAAAGGGCAATATGGATTTGATTCTGGGCTAGGAAAGCTGCAATTTCGAGTACTTTCCCAGATATTCCATTTAAGTTAAATTGTAGTAGTCTTAGGGTGCCTTAAGTCAGTTGAGGAAAGGGTGCCTTTTAGGAAAAGGTCTGTTAATCTATAGTTTTATACTGTCATGTTTATATATTTCAGGTTGGGTTTATGTAATTCAAATTCCTTTTATAGAAGTTTTCACATGGTAGCAGAGAAGATTTCATTTGTAATGCCAGAGTCTTTATCACAAGCGTCCTCCATGCAAGGATCGTCATCATGCAGAGCCTCCCCATCTATTTGACAAGGAACTAGTTTTGAGAATTGGAAGAGTGAATTGAATCTTTGGAAGATTCTAACTGATGTTACTACGAGCCAGCAAGCTCCCACTATTATACTCCAATCGTGAATAATGAGAATGGAGTTGCAACTTTGCTCGACCAACACACGAACTTTGATAAAGATTCCGTGGATCTGGAGTACAAAGCATACACAAATTTTGCTCAGCTAAAGCGAACTGGAGGTCAGAGCATAAGTGACTATCTCGCTGAATTTGAAACTAAGTACCAAACTGTTGAAACTCTTGGAATGAAGCTGTTAAAACCAGTTCAAGCTTGTAAATTATTACATGGTGCTGGTCTGTCTGTAATTGAAAGACAGATGGTACTAGCGGCAACACATACTGCGACAAACTGGCACAGATATTGTCGAGATAAAGTCTAAACCAATTTTCAAAGCTGGGACTGTGGAAACAACAGGCGAAAGCGACCAGGAGACGATGTTGCTTATTGGGGGAACGCCAAACGATTTGAGTCACTATACACGAGCTCCATATCGTGGCAGAAGACCATATCGAGGGCCCATAAGAGAAACAAATCGGAAAAACATGTATGGCAGAACACAAACTTGCTCGCATTTTAAATCAGTGAATCGCTTTTTTGAAGACTGTCAAGATCGTGAAATTTCGAATGAAACAAATAAAACGTAACAAGATGACATTTTTCTCACATTTGCAAGTTTTTCTGATCAACTTATTGAAGAAACTAGAAAAAGGGTTATTTTGGATATTGGTTGCACTTCGACAATCTGTGGAATACCGTGCTTAAACGGTTTTCTGGACAGTTTGACAGCGCAGCAGAAGAAACAAGTAGAATACTTGAAAACCAGGACAAAATTATACTTGAAAACCGGGACGTGTTTCCGGCTATGTATAAATGTCGTCTTCCTGTTCAGATTGGCAATCTGAGTAGCTTCTTAGACGTACAGATTATCAAAAGTAAATCACTACTTCTGATTCGCGTGAAATCATTGGCAAATGAAAGAGCGCTCATTAGCACCCACGTACAGCGTCTATCTATCACTAGAATCGGCGACATGTGTCTCAAAACGACTACCTCTGAACACCTGATTGAGAGCGTTTTTCCTGAACAAGAGTAATTCAAGGACGCTGTGCTGTGGTCGTTTGCTGAACTCGCGTATAAGGACATCGTGAAACTCTATCGACAATTTGGCTATTGCTCTGTCAAGAAACTGAGTGAATTGATAAAGAAACCTAATCAGAAGTGTGCAAATCTGAGTGAAATTATAGAAAGCGTGACACAAGAGCGTCCTGTATGTCAGCAGCATGGAAAATCACTGCCGGGGCCAGTTGTGACTTTAACACTATCTGAAGAATTTAACAGTGTTTTGGCCATAGATTTACACTAACTTTCTCCAGGGAAGTACTACATTCATTTTATAGACTTCTACTCGCGGTTTTCTCAAGCAAGCGTGACTACATCGAAAACTGTAAACTGTCCAAACGATCGTTTGCAAGTTAAAAGAGATATGGATTTTGCAATTCAGACCTCCCACAACAATTTTAACAGGCAATGGCGGCAAATTCGACAATTACATATTTAGGAAGAACCGCGCATGTCGATGCTGCAAGGTCCATGCAAGTAAATTGCGTAGTGTAGATGATGTGTCTAACGCACCTAACGAAAGTACTGACGAGAAGACTGCTTTAGAATGCGAGCAGAATGACATACCAACCATGGAGGCTGTTAAACAGTGCGATTGTACTCCTATCGACAGTGTTTCGTGTGATAAATTACCAGTAGAGTCAGTTAGTGTTCCGAGAATTCAGTCCAAGGACTACTTGCCAAGCGTCAATGGGTGTACGACACAACAACAGCGATTAAAAATAAGGCAAAAACCAATGGGCTGAAAGAAATGAAAAAACGTAGGAAAAATATCCGCCCTGGGCTATTTATGCCGGTAAAGTCTGAGACATTGCTTCTTCGCCAATTACTCACTATAGCAAGCAAGGATTTGAAAACTGAATTACGACTAAAGTTGAACTCATTTCTGCGCAAAGTAGTGGCATTTGTGAAAGCTTTTAACAAAGCTTCTCAAGGAATAATAGTACCCGGTTGTAATACCAATGCTTAGAGCAAAGATTATTTAATTTAATGCAACTAGTTAATCAGTCATTACATGAGGCCTAAATTGTTATTGAAATACCCATCACAAGTCAGCAATACTAAAAAAACAATGAAATTTGAATTAGTAATCATATAACAGCTGCCTCAACATTTTATAAAATAAACTATTTAAAAAACAGCTGTTTCAACAAAGTACGAAAATTAAATATCAACATTAGCTCAATCAAAGTGCATGATTAATTGCACTTTGATTGATTCAAGCTGGATGTTAAACAGCTGAACATCTGTAGCACGTTCAACTTTATTACTTAAGTTTCATAAATCGTGAGGGCTGAACTGTTTTCGTAATCAAGTTTTTGATAGACGCAAATCAAATCAAATCCACAGCAATTAAAACAAATTTTAATTTTTGATCTTTATATTAGGCAAGGCAAGACTGCCGTTAGAAGCCAGGTCAAAAATTAATTCTAAGCAAATTTCTGTACTACTATGATGGAGTGGTCACTTGAAAACAACCAGGTCCCTTGAGAATCAGACATTTAGAGCTCCCAAATCTTTTTATGAACAATTTTTGCACAAGTTAGTATTCAGAAAATTTGCATGCGAAGTGCATGCGGGATCTGTCTATCACAGTTGCTTTTTCGAAGAAACTACTTTATCATAGCAGTGTACCAATTTTTCTAACCTGGCCAAAGCCCATGGCATCCAGAATCAATGCAGTTTTGTTGTCATGGTTTGTAAAAGGGTTCTTCAGCCTGATATCCTGGAAAACGAAATAATTATTTGAGGGTTAAAAACTTTCAGGACTTCACGAATCAGGACGAAACCTTGAATATTCCGACAGCCCTTTAATGCCTATGAAATATTCAGTTTTTTTTTTTAATGACAAGCCAACAAGCCATGTAAGACTTGAGCCCACTTCCCACACACACACCCACCCACACACACACACACACACACACACACACACACACACACACACACACACACACACACACACACACACACACCCACACCGCACTCAAGTTATGCCAAACACAACGCGATAAAATTTGCGTCTGGTATTATAAAAATAAGACTGAATAGCTCGATCGAGGACTCATTTCTATATATTTTTTTAACTTTCAATTAGCCTTCAGTGATATGACCTAAAATCGCTTTGAGTATAGCTCGTATTTTGAAGATCATGCGATGTTTTTTTGTCCTCGATTTAAAACATCCAATTGCAAGTACTACTAAGAAAAGGCGGTATTTTTCCGAAGGGAAGGAAATTCTATTTGCCTACAGGTATAAAAAAAATTATTATTCAGGAAACAAATTTGAACAGTGTCAAAATTCTGATAGAATGATTAACCATAATGATTTAAACCTGATCAAAGAAACCATTTTATGTTTACTCACTCTGTATCTTCGGGAAAAGGCTTCTGGAGGCGTTGGTTTAGCCTTCTGTCTAAACTCATTTATAACTCCAGTCCGTGCTTGCTCTCGATAATGCCCGTGGTAACCCGAAGGAAACTAAAAGCATGTTAAAATTGGTTACTTCGGTACTGGTACCTCAAACAAATATAAACAAAAAGCCACGAACCCAAGATCCGATTATCTCTGTTGCCATCATCGAATTAACTTCGCATGCTCACATGAATAAATGGTTTAATAATTATAAGTTAAAAGTTTTGTCATGCCTTGAATAACGCATTTCAGTTTGATTCGAAAAATTGATAAAATCAAATAATAAATACATATAGTTTGTGAAAAAAAAACACGTTGACATTTTTGTTCCGATTCCTGCCATATGAAGAGAAACAATCATATCCATGTATAGGCTTTTTTGCCCGCCACGAGCGAAACTAAACCATGATGAGTCAACAACAATTGTTGGAATCTCAGCTACCATTAAAAATTGAAGCGCTAATTGAAACGGAGTCGAAATTCAGAAATGCGCAAACAGCAAACAAATCGACGGAAGGAACAAAACAAATCAAAATAACCAAAACCATCCCTCATTCACGAAATAAGTTGTCAAATCAGCCGAAAATCTGGTGCAGGCATAACGAGACTGCGCTTCCGATATACAGAAACAATTCTTCACAAGAATACAACAGTAGATGACAATCTCAAAAACAATAACTCTGCTAAAATACTACCGCAAACTGCATACAATGATAATTAATCTCCCCCTTAGTAGTGTGACTTTCGACCACAATGGTCAAAATATATGGCAACATCGAAATTTTAATGGTAGCAGCCAAGGGGCATTTTTGGCAGTTTCGACGAGTTAACAGTGTTAACCGTTCAATTTAACGAATTGGGAAAGGTCAATTTGGAGTGACGAAACAATTTTAAAAAATTTGATTTAGGCTTGCATGACACGTATAGAAACTTTCACTTTCGCGAACACTAAAACAGTGAGGCCGATCTATCACTAAAACAGTGAGACCGATCTATCTAAAATCTATCATCAAAACAGTGAGTCCGATTTTTGACACCTACAGTTTACAACTGAACGACTCAAAGACTTAGATCGCAAAAATTGACGGCTAAGTGACCTAACGAAGATCAAAAAGCTTGGTTCAATCCTTGACGACAGTGCAGACATCAGCAGACGAAAATGCTGTCCATCATTGCGCTGAACAAGTGTAAACCTGTCTGGAAGAACCCTTACGTCACCATCAAAAAGAAGATAAGTATCTACAATACGAATGTTAAATCCATATTCACCTACAACTGTTCCACGTGGGCCAAGAACAAAGGCACACACGAAAAACTAGACGTTGTACGCCAAAAACATCTCAAAAATGTACAAAAACATTCACTACCAAAAATATATCCCCAACAAAGAACTGTACTCTAGGTAGTGGCTGGAAGACGAAGAGCACATCTGGGTCACGTACTGAGATGGCACACCAGCGACGTCAATATATGAGCACGTGAACGAACTGAAGAAAAAAGGAGGAAGAGGACGGAAAGCTGCAAACATTTTTGAAACTTTCGGAAAAGACTTCGAGACTGACGACCTCCAATAGCTGGAACAGCGACCGATGTCAAGGACATTATAACATTGATGATTTTTTGTACCTTGATTGACTGACTAAAACCGCGAAAATCAGAACAACAATTTTCCCTGAAAAAACACAAGACGTGCGTTTAACGAACGAGACGACAGAAATTATAGTTGAAGATATCAGCGGAAGAGCATTCCGAATTTTAACGATTGTGTAGCTACAATTGTTACGGGCCGACTCCCGACAAATCGAAGCGCTATTGAGAAGATCTGCTACATTTCCTGTTTGCCTAGAAAACAGCTTTTCGACCAGATTCGAGAATCCGGAAAGGTCTTGAGAAGAGACTGAAACCGGTTTTTAAACAACTTTTAGGCTCCGGAAATGCCCTGAGTTGAATTTAATTAACATCTTGTCTATTTTTAGAAAATGAGAAGCTAGGAACTGAGGGAAAATGTTGATCCATCTCCGATGAAAAGGATGATTTTTATCGACTGAACAAAAACGAAAGTAGTATGATAAAAATTAGTAGCCTTGTTTTTAGGAGTGACCTCGTGGTCTGGGGAATTTTGAGATCCAGCCATGAGCTCGCTATTTTTGCATGCAACTAAGTTAATTTGCGCGATCTGGCCGATAGCCTTAAATATTAATGACTTTGTCCGGCCGATAAGGATGGACCACCCAAAGAAGTGGCTTTGGCACAGACGGTTAAAAGCATCTGAAGCTGTGTTTAGACAATAGCCAGTCGTTTCGTAACCTAGCTTCAAAATCCGTCGGTATGTACTTCCAGGCGAATTAACAAGCACTCCGCGCCGAGAGGATGCTCTAAATAAGGCCCATGACGAGGAGCCGGAAGGGTGGTACGGAAAGCGGAAGCCTTCCGGATTCCCGGATTAAGCTTTTTAACTTAGTTAAGACCGAAAATTCACGTATGGTGAAGGATGGGATGATCGGCCTTCCCGTCGTTGTCTGACCGTTATATGGCCAAAACAATTAAAAATATACACAAAACCAAACGCAAAGTAGTATAGTACCTAAGAAAAAACCAAAAACAAAAAAACGTCCGAAAAAACCAAAAACAGTAGAAAAGTATAAAGTCAGAAGAAATCATCCGCCCAGACGACATGTGACCCGACCCTCCCGTTTATTGTTGATAGATATATTGTTGTTACAGCTTTTACAACAAAGAAGATTTTTACGATCAAATTTGTGGCCATTTTTTTGGTGCTTGTACTGGGTTGCCTGAGTATTAAGGCACGTTAATGCTAATTTGAGCTCAATCCGGAAGGGTCTTGAGATTAGAGCCGATGACTGATCCCGCAAGCAGTGCAAGGAGCTACAGGAAGGGTGTCAAGGACAACAACAATTGATTGTTAGGTATCGTTAACAAGTTTTGTATCCTTTTAGTACAGAAATTAAGAGAGCAATCTGTGGGGGCTCGACAGTGACTGTACTGTAGTGACCCTCCACCGAGTTGCGAGTTTCCGAGTTAAGCACCTTAATTCGGATACTGAACAAACCCGGAGGGATACAATTTTGTTAGTAAAACTATTTATACTACTTTTTTCAATACTCTTTTATCGTTTTTGAGTAAAAAAAACATAGCAAACAGACCGGTTTTTAGGGTCAAAATAAAGATATTTTGATCACCTTACAAGTCGCGATTTTTGAGATATCGATACTTTTTGAAACAGAAAAAAAACGCTCAATTGATGAGTTACTCCGTAACTGCACTATTATAATTAGTGGAACCGGTGAAAATTATTTCGAACGTGACTTTTCGAAAAACGAAACGTCACAAAATAGGACAATTTTTCAAAATGTTTGAAATAGGGCGATAAAAATTGTCGTTCGAACAACATTCACTAGTGAATCGACAGGTTTTAGAACCCGTTTGCCAATAACCTCCCTGGCCCTGGTGAAGTTGACCTTAACAACTTGATTAAGTTGATTCATCAATCCGGAGGGATCCAAAAAGCGTTGTTTTTGGCAAGTTTTTTCGGCTGAATCGTTTTAGACCGGGTGTCTGCATTGAACTAGAAAAGTATAGACCTTTTGAGCTCGGATGGATAATTTTTAAGTCAATAAGACAAGAATTGCGAAAAAAAAGTTAGACGAAAACTATAAGTTTGAAAGTCTTTTGATTTCCCATCAAAGACGGTTCGATTTATAATTTTAGAACTAATGGATAGCTCCAATTCATCTTGGTACCATTACAACAGAAACTAAGCAGGCTTAGTTATAGAGTAATTGTTTTTGAAAAAAGTAAGCATACAAAACTTTTCTAGATTGTTTTTAGCAAAAACTACCGATTTGTGAAGAAGACCCTTCACGTTTTGTTTTTTTTTTTTGGAAAATTTCTATACCTCTACCATACAACAGTAACGGCTGAATAAGGCAACTTTATGCTGTTCTCGACGGAAAGGAACGGCTAGGGAAAACAGAAAAAGATAGTCGAGTCAAATTTAGGCTAGTTAATTGACCCTTCACAGTTAAGGAAAATTGTTAAATGAGCAGTTTAGCCTCAATCTGGAAGGGTCTAGGGCCAGAATTCACCCTTCCTAATTAGTTTATTTAGCAAAATAGGCTCAGGAACTCAACCAAAGCGCGAATTTTTGAGTGAAGCACCTTATTCTGGATATTGAACGGACCCGGAGGGGTATAATAATAAAAACATTACTATTTTTACTGCTTCTATTAAAAGTCCTCTATAGTTTTCCAGTGAAACAGAACGTAAACAGACCGGTTTTCAGGGTCATAATAAAATACTTTGATCCTCCCACAAACCGCAATTTTTGAGATATTGATAATTTTTGAAACGAAAAAGCGCGCTAAATTAGATTTGCATTTTTCTAACTAGTGGAACCGGTTAAATTTAGTTCGGACGTGGTTGGAACTAATTGGGTGCCAAACACAAAAATTTCTTGATATATGAAAAAACGAAACTCGACAAAAAATTTCAAAATTTTTGAGTTAGCGCAAAGAAAATTGTCGTTCGGACATCATACACTAAGGAATCGACAGGATTTAGAACGCGCTTGCCATCAACCTTCCTTCCCTCAGTGGAATCGAACTTAACGTGTTTGATCTAGTGGATTCATCAATCCGGAGGGGTCCAATTAGCATTGTTTTTGGCAATTTTTTTCTCAGCTGAAACTTTTTAGACCGGGATTTTGCATTGATCTAAAACAATTTTGGCCTTCTGAGCTCGGATTAAAAATTTTTAAATGAATGACAAGAGTTGCGGAAAAAGCTAAGTGGAACCTTGAGGTTGGAAGTTTTTTTTTAATTAGCATAAAAGACGTTTTGCATCATAACTTTGGACGTTTTGCATCATAACCGATTCAATTTATCTTAGTACCGCTAGAACAGGAATTAAGTAGGCTCACACATATAGTAATTGTTTTTGAGAAGAAAGTAAGCAAAGAAAGTTTTCTAGGTTGTTTTTAATAAAACTACTGATTTTTGAAGGTCGACCCTTCGCGTTTTGTAATTTTTTTTTTGCAAAGCCCTTACATCCCTGCCAAACGATAGCAATGGTCTAATAAAGCATTTTTACGTTGTTCTCGACAATAAGGAAGCATTATGGAACCTAGAAAACGACAGTCGAGTCAAAAATAGGCTTGTTATAAGACCCCTCACCGTTCAAGAAAATTGTTA